TATGTAACCAATGTGGAAGTGCTGCACCACAGAAATCAGCAAACTGAGAACTGAGTAATTAGATAGACAGAGCTATGGTAGTTTGGCAATGTCATCAAAGAATTACAAGGTATGAGATTGGGTTACACCAGGAGGGAAGAGATAGGGTTGCCAACTTCCTACTCGCCCAAAACTGAACAGCCTTGTCCCGCCTCCTATGGGGCCCAGCCCATGCCCCACCCCTTCTCCAAGGCCACGCCCCCTACTCACTCAATCCACCCTCACTCACTCACTCATTTTCACCGGGCTGGCTCAGGGGATTGGGGTGCGGAAGGGAGTGAGGGCTCTGGCTGGGGGTATGGGCTCCAGGGTGGGGCCAGAAATGAGGAGTTCAGGGTGAGGGAGGGGACTCTGGGCTAAGGCAGAGGGTTGGAGTGTGGGAGGGGGTACGGGATCTGGGCTGAGGGTGTGGGTTCCAGGATAGGGCCAGAAATGAGGGGTTCAGGGTGCGGGAAGGTGCTCCGGGCTGGGACAGAGGGGTTTGGAGGGTGGGAGGGGGATCAGGGCTGGGGCAGGGGGCTGGAGCATGCGGGGGAGCTCCAGTTGGGGGTGCGGGCTTTGCAGTGGCACTGGGGATGAGGGGTGTGGGGTGCAGAAGGGTGCTCTGAGCTAGGATCGAGGGGTTTGCAGGGTGGGAGGGGGATTGGGTGGTGCTTACCTCAAGCAGCTCCCATAAGCAATGGAAAATCCCCCATCCAGCTCCTACGTGGAGGCGCAGCCAGATGGCTCTGCGCGCTGCCCTGTCCACAGGCGCTGCCCCCGCAGCTCCCATGGGCCACTGTTTTTAGCCAATGGAAGCTGCTGAGCTGGTGCAGGGAGCCCCGTGGCTGCATCTATGCCTAGGAGCTGGAGGAGGGACATGCCACTGCTTCCGGGAGCTGTGCAGGGCCATGACAGGCAGGGAGCCTGCCTTAGCCCCACTGAACCGCCGACCGGAGTTTTAACAGCCCGGGCAGCAGTGCTGACCAGAGCTGCCAGGGTCCCTTTTCGACCAGGCATTCCGGTCGAAAACCGGACACCTGGCAACTCTAGGAAGAGAAGGTGTGGAGGGCAAAGAATGACTTATCCTAGTACCACTGAAAAGGATGCTGCCATCATGGAGACAACTTACGATGCAGTCAAACATCTTTCTCCGGAGAGATAACAGTGGGAAAAATGGGTTGCTCTATGTGCCCCTGGGCACAGGAGAGATTCTAAGACTATGTAAATCTATTAACATTGCACCCCAGCATACGGTTCCCATTTGGGAGGACTGGCGGGGGGCACCCCATAGTGCTTATAGCCTTGTAGCCCAGCAAGCAGTTGCTGATGATGGGGGTACTAAAGAGATCCTGTGGTCCAGGTGATGTTGCCTGCATCATAGCTCAGCACGTGCCTTTGTGCCCAGGGAAGCATGTGGGCTGGCAAAGGTGCCCTGGCACCAGCATGTGGCTCCAGGAGGAGTATTGCCATGCCAGGGAGGCTGTGCTCTTGGTGATGGCTAGCACCTTGTGCTGGGTCATGGGGCCGCTCTCTAGCCCTGGCTCTGGCATCAACCACACCCCAGCAGGTTGTTCACGCCCCGTGGGGGTGGGCAGCGATGGGGCCGTATCCCAGCTTGCGGCTTGAGGGGAGCTCGGAAGGATCCTGCGGCCCAGCCCCCTCCCAGGGACCCCCCACCCCGCGGTCACCTTCCCGATGCTGCTGCCGCTGTAGGAGTCCAGATGGTTGAGAAAGACCCTCTGGCTGCGAACGGTCCCTTCGGCCGCGGCCACCGCCTCCTCCTCCTCCGCCGCCATGGCGCTCGCCGGGGAAGCCGGGCCGTTGCTAAGCGACCGAGCCAAGCGGCAGCGTCCTTCTCCGCACCGGCCCAGGCATCGGGGAGGGCCGCCACAGGGCCGGGCCAAGACGCGGGCAGGGGGCGGTCCCTGCAGCTGGCGAGGCTGGTGCCAGGGCGCCTCCGGGGAAGGGAGGCTCCCGCTCCCTGGGCAAAAGCCGGGAGAGAGACCGATACTGGGGTAGGCAGAGCCCGAGTCGAACAGAAGGGAAAAGGGCACGAACCTATAACTATTCCCTAAAAGAGGGACAAAGATCTACAGAGACAGAGCTATAGTGGAGGCGGTCCAGGAACAAGAGGGGAGAGAATCATGACAGAGGCAGAGTTTGACGTTTTAAAACAACACAGGCTGTAATCGAGAGTGGGGCGTACTGTAGTGTGCCAGGTCAGTAAGATACTTGCCCAGCTCTGAGCTGAGGTAGGTGAGGAGGAAGCCTTTATGTTCATATGGATTTATTTGTTTTTTAAATAAGAGGGTCAGTATTTCATAGGCATTTTCACTAATATGGTAGAACCCCTCTTTTATGAACGATCTGGAGATTGAAGTTCATAAAATTGAGTATCTCCAAGTCTCAGTACCAAAGTTGCAGTATAGGGCACTATATTGCTTTCTTCTTATCGTTTGAAACGAGGCAAAGCATTTCCATGGCACTGAAAGCATTAGGATATCACTTTTGTTATGTGATTTTTTTTTCCTGTTGGGAAAAATAGTTCATAAAACTAGTTGTTCATAAGACTGATGTTTGAAAAATCAAGGTTCTAGCCTGTGCAGATTTACAGGAGAATTAAGTGGAAGATAAAGGCTGGCCAGAAGTCCCTCAACCCTGCACTTTTTACACACCCCCATCCTAAGAAAAAACGGGAGAGGAAAGAGGAACAGTGCTGGTAAAGCAGCTCTGTGCTTATCAGACAATTGGTTACATGTTTCAGAAGTAACGGTCAGATGAATATGTGGTCCTGCCTCAGCACAGGGCATAGTCTACCTGACCTCTTGAGGTCTCTTCAGCCTTAAAATCATAAATACGTCCAAAAGGCATTTTACAGTTGTGGATTTGTTTGTAGTTCACATTCTCTATATTGCAAGTTCTGCATCTTCATGCACCACTGAGCAATTATGTTATCAGTGTATGTATGCACTAGCACTTTAAGAAGAAACAAGAACATATTCAGCATTTATGTTAATTAATCCCATGTTTCAAGCTTACTGTCTTTGCAAATCATCTCTCCCCTCAACCTTCTTTTGGTTGGGCTCTTTGAGTCTCCTTTCATAAGGTAGGTTTTCCATTCCTAAGATCATCGCAGTAGCCCTTCTCTGTACCTGTTCCAGTTTGAATTAATCTTTCTGAAACATTAGAGACCAGAATTGCACAGTATTCCAGAGATCTCATCCCTGCCTTGTGTAAGGGTACTGTCACTTCCCTATCTCTACTGGGAATACCTCACCTACTGCATCCTAAGACTGCATTAGCCTTTTTCACAGCTGCAACTCATAGTCCTCCTACGAGCAACCAGTATATCAAGGTCTCTCTCTTCCTTTGTCACTTCCAACTTCTTCTTAGCATCTGTGCGTGCCTCAGATGGCACATGACTAGGATTCGTCACCCAGTTTAGTCCATTAGTTGGATCATTAGCTTTCTTAGCTCAGGCTAGGTACTGAAGGGGAATGCGACAATGGCTGACCTAGGTTTCCCCCGTTACAACTGAGCAGTCCTCAATTTATAGGAAAAAGTTGCTATTGAGGCAGCAATTTTTTTAGAAGGATCTCTGCCTCTAAAAAGTTCAGCACCAACTCTGGTACTTTTTAATATAATGCAGTTTTACAATGAGAACAACATCTGACCTTTTTGCAGTTTGTTTGCTTAGCAAAAATGTTATTTGTGTACTGTGTCAAACAACTGACTACACTGTTAAGTATATGAGCTTTAGATACAACTTCCATTGACCTTATTAGATGTTTGCAACTGAAGTTTGAGAAATAGTGTTTAAAAGAGCATTTTGTATTTTTAAAATTGTAATATGCAAGCTACTAGCTGAAAGACAGCCTTGAGGTATGCATAGTAACTTTTAGATTATCACTTCTTATATGTACTGCATAATCAGCAATAGCAGATAAACAACAGCATCATTCTTTATACAAAGATGAACTCCTCTTATCCTATTTTACATTTGCATTCCAATACTACTCTGAACTGGAGTGGGCTCTCGTCCCGATATATCCACAATTCAGAGCTCTAAGTACATAGCACATTCTTCAGCATGGCACAAAATCTTTGGTAACATTTTGAAGAATGGAGTTGACCTCAGTACTGACAGACATCCTTAGAGCAGGCAGCTGTTTATAATCTCTTAATAAGATAGTCTCAAAGTGATTAAACCGTGCTAAGCTTTGAGACTTTTCATAATGTCCAAGGTTGTGTTTTGCTGTCCATTCCCACTTTTATTTAATTGAAAGCCTATCCATTCTCATCCTTATGGAAGGTATATCCGTTCACAGATCTATGGCTTTATCAGATGCCCAGCAGCACAGGATCAAGGATTCAGATAGGTATATAAAGCAAACAAGTACGGAATTGTACTAAAAGGTCTACTGTTAATTAGCATTTCAACTGAGCCTTTTCACACAGCAGCATTTTCTAGTATAACTATTTAAGAGTATTCCCACATATTACAAGCATACTAACCCAACTATGTGCATGACTAGAATCCCTTTTCATTTTCAAGTTATAGTGTAGTCAATTATTTCCTAGGGAAGTAGGTGAGATCTGCGGCTTACACAGCCTTCCAACAAGTTTATGCCTTCTGGTAAAGGCTTCTCAATTTCTGTTGTAAAGCTATAAAAATATTCCTTGTCAGCCATAGGCATACTCAAATTAAGTGAAGAGTTACTATAATGTAATACTATCCTTGAAGTTGTTCACCAATGTTTAAGTACTTGATCTCCACCCCTTTTTTACATTGGCATGTTGAATAGTAATGCAGATCAATTTTAAATGCTCTTATATATTTATACACTACAGCCAAAAGGTATTGTTTAAGCTACCATGTGTTTACCTGACTTGTGTGTCTGAGACTTGCACGTTTACAAAGATATAGGTATACATTTTCAATTTATTTTGGGGGAGGAGAATAAAAAGCAGATCATACATAAGTTTGTGCATTTATTCAAGTGTCTAGTCATTGAAATAAACAGGTGCATTGTTACAGGGGTAGATATTGAGATATAAACTTGGCAAAGTACATTTTCCTCATAGAGGATTAAAGCACATGCCACAAAACTGCAAAAAAAAAAAAAAAAAAAACGAACCATTTTCTTAGAGCATGAAAACACTTTTAACAAAGTTATATATTAACATGAGTTGTTTCAACCTACTAAGATAATAAAACAAACATTACACTTGAAAACAGAAGCTCTGACTGTAGGTCCCTTCTCAGTCAGAATTACAGCATCATTGCCACAAAACTATAATAAATGCTCAACTTGTTAACTGGTCCCTCAAATTAATGTGACTGATCCTCAGCTGGTGTCAATCAGTCTAGTTCTGTTGAAGTCAGTGGAGCATGTTTATTTACCAAAGCTGATAATCTAGCCCTCTCTTTGGATTCACATTTACTTTTTTTCTAGCATGAAACACGGACAAATAAAGGCAGAATTACATAAACAAGGATGCATAGATATTGAATAGTACAAGTGTGCAAAACAGTGATCATATAATCATAGAATGCTAGTTCAATAGTACTGGTGCTTTAAACCAACTGAATACTTTTCACAAAGTCTCTTCCATTCATACACCCAAATCTCTTCCACACATTCGAAAACTTATAGTAGCACAATAAGTTTATAAAGATCTTTGTATTTTTTTTTATAAAATAGAAAATATGCGACTGTCTCCCAATTCAATATCAATCTCTGAATGTTTCATACAGCCTTAGGTTTCAAACCAATACACTGCATTGACATTATATACTTACCGTTCTTTAGGACAGGACACTGTACAATTGAGGGAGAAGAGGGCAGCCTTACAGGAATACCTAAGCACTGCACTGTAAAAAGTAAAGACTGAAGCAAAAATACTTGAGTATATTCTGTACATCATGTAAACAAACGTTTAGAAGAGTAAACAGGCTAAAATGTCTTCCACCCCCTCCCAAAGTTATTAGTATGGTCTAAATTTAAGAAAAAAATGTCACCTGTTCTTCCTTGTTTTCTTCTGTGCTTATATCATTTGCAAATTTAGAGGATACATTCATATGCCAACAGTTATCTTTTGTTTACGGGTTGGTGGTTGCTGCCAACAAGGGTACACTGAATAATACTGAACATTGCTTTTAACTCAACAAGGACACTAAGGTCTGGTCTAAACTAGAAATCAGGTCAGTTTAACTACATCGGTCAGGGCTATAAAAAAGTCCTCACCCCTGAGTAGTGCACTTAAGCTGACCAAAATCCCCAAGTAGACCGCTAGATCAATGGAAGAATTCTTCTGGCAGCTTAGCTATCACCTCCTGGGGAGGTGGATTTCCAACAGGAGATTCTGAAGTGCTACAGTGGCACAGCTACAGCGGCATGGCTGCAGTATTTTAAGCACAGGCAAACTCAGAGTAAGCAATGTTCAAATGATGTATGATATTGTGAGGTTCATACCTTGTGAATGAAGCAGAGAGTTTTCAGGTTTGCTTACAAAAACATTGAGCTGAAATAGATATCCTCTAAGTGGAATAAAGTAATTCCCATTAATTTAGCTAGAGCAAGTAGTTAAAATTTGGTTTTAAGGAGCAGAGTTAAAATTTACAGATAGACATTAAGAAAGTATTACTACTTTCATACATGGCATTCAAGATTTGCACAGTACCAATTAAGATATTTCTTAGAATAAGATATTAGATCATATTGCTTTGGAAAGAGATCAAATTTCTTCAAATGCTGTAGAACGCAAGTCACTGTCAACTGATGATCTACAGCAGAGTTTAACAAAAAAGGTACTACTTCTACAGTCCACCAAAATAGCTTAAAGTAGCCTTGTGGACAAAGCAGATCCATAGCAACATTCATATTTTACAAGTCAGTTCTATTGTAAGGAACCTAGATGTTCAGGCAAGAAATGAAGCTTGATATACGTTTCTGGCTAGATCCGAAAGGAAAATCTCAGTAACTCATACTAAGAATTCCCACTATTATTAACCATTCCCCAACATGTGCTTGTTACTGCAGACTGAATCACGACTGCCCATCCCTTTTTAAAGCTTCTAGTCTCTGTAGTAGTGCATTTCCAAAAGCTTCACGATATGCTGGGCTAAGGGAGTCCAATAAAGAGTAGACAGTCTCATGATACGCCGTTTGTAAGCCATCATCAGCCTGGTCAAAAGCATAACCCACCACCTGTTGCAAAGAGACCCATGGTTAATTTTTTTGCAGTTAGTCATAGGAACCATAAAAAAACCCCACAAAATTAGTCACATTAGTACACTGAATGAAGGATTGCCAGACCCAACAAACCAATACTATACTTTGTTTGTAGTGTTGTAACCATGTTGGTCCCAGGATACCAGAGACAAGGTGGGTGAAATATCATCTTTTGTTGGTGAAAGACAAGCTTTTGAGCTTACACAAAGCTCCTCTTCAGGTCTTGAAAGGCACTCAGTGTCACAGCTAACTACAACATGGAACAGACCATCCGACATAAATAGTTAACACGTAGGAGATCATTCAAGGTGAAGTGTATTTAACTGACACTCAGGCCTGGTCTACACTAAAAAGTTAGGTTGACACATTTCTGTCGCTCAGGGGGTGAGAAAAATCCACACCCCCTGAGCAATGTAGTTAAGCTGACCTAACCCCGGATGTAGAAAGTACTAGGTTGACAGAAGAATCCTTCCGTCAACTTAATTACAACCTCTCCGAGAGAGGTGGATCACTTAAGCTGATGGAAGAACCCCTCCCATCACCACAGATGGTGTCTACACTTGAAGGCCTATAGCGGCACAGCAGTGCCACTCTAGCACTTCAAGTGTAGACAAGCTCTGAAAAAGAGAAAAGCTCTGTGTAAGCTCGAAGGCTTGTCTTTTACCAAGAGAAGTTGGTTCAATAAAGCCTATACTTCCTCTTCCCTACTCAAGACGTTAAGTAACAATTCATCCTCTAAAGGAGTTTCCAATATTCTGTTCTCACAAAAATTGAGACCACCAAAGACACTAAATATACAGAGGCTTACTTTTGAATTTGGCTGGAAGTTCACTTCACCGCACAAGCAATTTAAATAGTGTGAATGGGAGATGCATACATAGAAATCAATAATTAGTGTTTCTCATTAAGATTACAGTAGTCTGTTCTATAAAATGCAGTCTGATGTGGGCACAATACTATATCATCTACTTTTTCTTACACCTGCTGCAATTGTTGTGCACTTTTCTCAGACAACTGTGGACTAGAAGATTGAAGAACTACAGTGAAAAAGGTTTCAGAGTAGCAGACGTGTTAGCTGTATTCGCAAAAAGAAAAGGAGTACTTGTGGCACCTTAGAGACTAACCAATTTATTTGAGCATAAGCTTTCGTGAGCTTCACGAAAGCTTATGCTCAAATAAATTGGTTAGTCTCTAAGGTGCCACAAGTACTCCTTTTCTTTTTACAGTAAAAAAGTCACCTGTAACACCAAACATTTCAGTTATCTACTTCCATCTTTATCATTCTGTAGATGTTTCTGATAAATGCCTGCTTTTCATAATCTAGGTTAACTGTTGGGTTATTAAACTAAAAGCATTGGAGAAAACATGAGGATGGGCATTACCTCACTTCTTTAAACAGGGTGCTAAAACGTACCCTCTACTTTAGCTAAGAGTTAATGGATTATTATGGGGCTTAAACACTTCAGTTTTGAAAGTAAAATGAGGCACAATAGCACATGTCAAGGATATCACAAGCCTCAGCTCTTAGGTTCCAGGGTTGTGTCAATTGGTCAGAAATTTATTTTTTAAAAAGTTATCATCTTTATCTAATGCCTAACTTTAGCACCAGTTACTGCTTTCAGCCCATGTTAGTGAAACATAGAATCAAGATAAAACCATGCAGAGAAAAATATTGTATACCATACCCCAGTTATGCAGGGCATAATCACTGTTACAACATACAGAGCTTTACTTGAAATAGTGGTCATTGCATCAGTTCTAACTTAACATTTTTCCATTCATGTAAGATGCGCTTTGGCAAGACAAGTGTGTAAAATCTTCCCCTTTTGGATTTAATTGAAATGGCATAATAGTAGTTCCCTTAAATGCTGAATTTTGAAATATGAAAAAAGAGTCTCAAATGTATTCAATAAAGAAAAGAGCCTATGCTGCTTTGATGACAACTGAAAACTTTTACTAGACACCTTTCAATTAATATTTATTGTAAACAAAGAAGCTTTATAAAAGGATAAACGGGTTACCCTAAGTCCTGCTTCTGTGAGCTCCAGGCAATATCTGTTTCTTTCCCTTGTCTCCACATTAATATATGCCACAGCCTCTGCACATGGAAGGTTTTTTGAGACAAACATATTGCTGACAGCAAACAGAACATCATTCACAACAGCTTCCGCCTCTAGTCTCATATCCTTCACATCTGTTCCTTCAATGTCCTTATATTCAGGATCTTCTTCAAACCCTGTGTTACTGGACAACTCCATGGGATTGTAATCAGTCTCCATTCTGTGGATGGAAACACCATATTCAATTTTATATGGCCACAAATTATTATGCAAAATCAATGATATAAAACAGATTTTTTTCCAACAGAAAGAACTATTTTAAGACACATTCAATGTCCTGCAAAACCAAAGGAAGATATGGGCCCTGTAGGGCTACTAGCAGGTCAACCAGGATTTTTTTTTAATTGGAGGAATCTTGAAAGACAAGGTATTAACTACAATGTTTCAGCATAACAAACTCACAATTCTGTGACTATGGTATTAAAGTAACTGATAATGCACACATCTATATTTTATAAGCACAGTATGCAGTGTTCTTAATACACAAGCAGTTATGAGTCTGTCCTAAACAACTTATCTGCTGGTCCCCAATGAGTCAAGAATTGATGTCTGCATCAGCAGGTGCAGGAAGGGGGAAGAGAGAGGACTCAAATGAAAGCTCAAACTCTTGGAGTGAAAGTGAAGGGTCACTAATATTTAAAGGAGCTAGTTAGTAAAACTGGCTGTTTGCCTGTAAAGAAAGTCAATTCGTTCAGCCTCTCTCTGTATCTGTTTGTTAATACAAAGGTCAGTAGCATGTGTTGACAGTTGTAGTTCACGAAAGCTTATACTCAAATAAATGTTAGGCTCTAAGGTGCCACAAGTCCTCCTGTTCTTTTTGCCGTTACAGACTAACACGGCTGCTACTCTGAAACAAAAAGGCTGAACACTGGGACACGTTTTCTGCGTTCGTCCCAAGATGCAAGTCATGCAAGATGAAAGGCAACGCAAACCCCCTTTGCAAGCCCCACTCTGTCCTCGGGGCAGGGTGCTCCCACAGCACCGTAACACACCCACAGCCGAGAGGGCTGGTGACCTCCCGTGCACGCCCCGTGCAGCAAGGCGCCTCACGCTCGAGAACGACCCCGCTCCCCAGGCAACTCCCTGGGGCTACAGGCAGAGGCAAGAAGGGGCCGGAAGAGCAGCTCGCAGCAGGCAGCCCCGCCGCTCCCTGGAGAAGGGCCTGCAGCGCAGCCACCGCGGTGACAGCCGCACTGCGCGCAGGAGAATCGGGCAGCGAAGCCTCGTTAGTGCCACCCTGGGTTTGATACGGGGGGAAAAAAACCCCTTAACACAGCGGGGGACGGGCCCTCCAGCCGCCGCTGCCGCCTCTTCTACTGCTCCCCGCTGCCACAGGCCGAGACCCTTCACCTGTCCGCCACAGACCCACCTCTCGTCCGTCTTCTACGGCCGCCGAAAAGGAGCTTTGTGGCTGGCCTGCCACCCACTCCGACTTCCGCCTCATGCCCGCCCCTTCACTTCCGCCCCCGCTCTGTGACTTCACTTCCGCTGAAACGTCACCTTGGCGTCACTGTCGCTCGGTTCCGGTGAGAGGGGGAGGGTAGAGGCACGTAGGAGGTGGCTGCAGGTCCCCTGAAGGGACCGAAGCCAGGCGGCAGTGCGCGCGCGCTACCGCGGTGGAGCCCCGAAATCACCAGCCGCCCCCTCGCATCCCGGGGCGCTGAGAAGATGGCGGCGGCGGCGGCTCAGTGAGGATGGAGCTACCTGTCATTGCCTTCTTCCTCTGAGGGTGCGGGGTCCGGCCCCACGGGGTGCGAGTCGGGGGACGGGGGACCGCAGGGAGCTCTTTCCCTAGCAGAGCTGACTCGAGCCCGGCAGCTCCCCGCCCCCCGTCGCCCCAGCCGATTAGCCCCCCCCTTCCAGCCCAGCAGCTCCAGTCTAGTGACCCCCTCCCGTCCCCGACCCGCCACCATGCCTTGGCCTTTCTCAGAGTCCATCAAGAAAAGGGCCTGCAGGTACCTGCTGCAGAGGTACCTGGGCCACTTCCTGCAGGAGAAGCTCAGTCTGGAGCAGCTCAGCCTGGATCTGTACCAGGGTACCGGCTCTCTGGCGCAGGTCCCTCTGGATAAATGGGTAAGAGAGGTGCAGTCCCCACTACCCTGCTGCTCCTGAGGGATCAGCCCCAGGCCCCTCCCCTCCCTCGGGTGCCACCTGTTTTATTTTTAAATCACCTTTTTTGCCTTAAAAAATAAAGTCAACTCTAATATTTTATCTAGGGAATTGTACTTGTCGCAATGGTGTCTGAGTACCTTGCCAAAAAATAGATAGATAGTTTGGTGCAGTTGGTTTTCCTGCCCTGCCCATGTGCAGTAACACTGAGTGGGGTTTGGGTGCTTTTAAAAATGTTGTTTGAAAGCAAAGGCAAAGAGACTGATCTTGAGCCTGGCCTCAAGATGGCAAGATAGCTGGTCAATCAGCTCTTCGAAAGGGAGGTCCATTCTTCAGTGGGCTTATTGCTAAAAATGCTCCATCTCCAACTCTGTCCTGGCTTTATGGACAGCTCCACTGTCTTGAATAGAAGAATCTCTGCTGTCATGAAAGGACCTGGTAGGGGAGAGGGAAGTGATAGCTCAAACCCAGAGCACTCAGAGCTTTAATAAATAGTTCCCTGGCTTAGAAATGGACCCGGTATTCGGTTGGTAGTCAACAACAGAAGCAGTGGGAGTGGGAGGATCTTGCTCTGCTGGTGTTGCTTAGCCCATGGAATGATTGATTTTTTTCAGGCCTTGCATATTCATTCCCAGATATAGTGTTACAGTAATCCAGCCTAGCAGTCACAACAACATGCATCTTTATGGCTGGGTCTGTATCTATTAATATTTGGCAGTCTCTTGGCCAGCTGTCAGAAGAAGGAGGTATTTCTAGGAGTTGTTGACATTTGGGTCTCCATTATCAGTGAGGATTTTAAGGCTGAGCATCGTTTTGACTATATGTGGCTTGACTGATGGGATGTCAGTTTGTTCTTCACAACACCTTCCTCTTTTCACAACACCTTCTTCTTTTCAATAGCATCACTTGTTTTGTCTGTGTTAGGATTTAGTCAGCTGGTCTTCATCTTTGTGTTGATTTCTTTGAGACACTAGGCTAGGTAGTTAGTCATTTTTGCACTTTTTATGATGGAGATGTAACTCTGGATGGTATTAGCATAGTCTCAATCTTTTAATATGTGTTTATACAAACATTGAGTTAGGTGGGGGAGAGGGTAAAGGACTGTGGAATGCCATAGGTGAGAGTTTGGAAGGCATGGGAACTTGCCAGTCAGAACTATCTAGGTCTAGTCTGAGGTAAATCAGGAGCCATCTTAATTAATGTAACTCCACATAACTCTGAATGGTCTGTAAGGCAAGTCACTAATATATTGTGGCTGATGATATGAAATACTAGGGTGGCCTAGTAGTATGAATATGGCAGTTTGCTAGCTGTTCATGGCTATGAACAGACTGTCCAACCACCAACAAAACATAAATTGCTTCTGTACCATATTCTGGTATAAACTCCAGCTGAGCAGGTTCCAAAATAATGGTAGAGGTCAGTTGTTCTTGGAGTTGATGCTTTGCAAGCTATTCAATCACTTCGCTGAGGAATGGGAAATTAGACATTGGGTGGTATACTGTGTCATATTACAGATCTGAATATGCCTTTTTTGTTGTTGTTGCTGCAAAGGTCCTAAACTTCTCTCTTTCAGGGAGTTTTTGAAGTCGGTAAATATGTGGCCCCAGAACTCTTAACTGCCCTTCACCAGTGAAGAAGGCCATGGGTCAGTTTCATGGGGTCCAAAGTGATGCCATCATTCCAGAATGCGTTTATGTGAAATCTGGGTTGTAGGCCTTGGTTGGTTGGTTTGTTTGTTTGTTTGTTTGTTTGTTTAAGCCCTTAATCCTGTAAACATGTGTGCTTAACTTTACTACTAATAAACTACCACTAAACTTTGTTAATAGTAAAGTTAAGCATGGATGTTAATGTTTGCAAACTTGGGATCTAATTCTGTAAAATAGATATTATAGTAGGAGTGTTGTGTTTTACGTAAAGGGCTTCTGAGATGCCCTAGATAAAAGACACTTTGTAAATGCAAAATATTAATTTCTTCATTTGGTCCTGTGGGGCAGCTGTTTTTGTGTAGTAGGTGGGCAGACTCAATGTCTGAATAAGATTTCAGTGCCCTCTAGTGGATATTAAAACAGCCTTTGCTAGTTACACTAGACTTGAAAAATAAACATTATGAACCCTGCAATTTATGTAAAGTGCTTGGTGTATTAAAGAAAGTTAGTAAAATGTGCATATAATGTTCATTTTCCAGTTTGGAGAAACTTTTTTTTTTCTTTGCTGGGCAGTGTTTTCTGGCCTATAAATTAGTGAGTGGCTAGTGCTTTTTAGATATGGCTCTCTCATTCATGACAGAAAGATTACAAAAACAGGTGTTGCAAAAGTGCTATAGCTGCTTTTTTTTTAAGTCACTTTAAACTTGCTGTCTACATGTCCTCAAGGAGGCTGTAGTTTTAACCTTAATTATTTTCTCATTTTTGTTCTGTTTTTGAACTTTGTTCTTCATCGACTGGTTTCATTTAATTTTTTAAAATATTTTAAAGTACACATAATATATACACCATTGTCTTGGTGTTTACCGTATACAGAGGGACATGTTCTGACCTCCACTGTACTTGTGCAACCCCTTTGACCTGAGGAGGGTTGCATTGTCTAATGAAAGTCAGAATTTAGCCCACAATATTTGTGATTGAATATATAAATATGCTTAATGATTGATTTCACTGCTGCTTCTGGAGTTAACCCTGCAAAGCCTTTCCATGTCCTGAATTCTCATTGACTCCAGTGGAAATTCCTCAGTGATATAGGATCAAGCCAGCAGTTGGTGTAGATACGTGGAGTTTTACAATTTTATTTTAAATACCTAGACCATCTGTGGCAGGTATTTGTCTAATTTGTTCTGAAAAACTTCCAATGATGGGGATTCCACAACCTCCCTTGGAAGCCTATTCCAGTACTTAACTATCCTTACAGTTAGAAAGTTTTTCCTAATATCTAACCACTGAATACTTCTTGTCCTACTTTCAGTGGACATGGAGAACAATTGATCCCTGTCTGCTTTATAACAACCCTTAACATATTTAACAACTGTTATCATGTCCCCCCCTCAGTCTTCTTTTCTCAAGACTAAACCTGCCCAGCTTTTTTAACCTTTCTTCATAGGTCATATTTCCTAAGCCTTTTATAATTTTTATTGCTCTTCTCTAGACTCTCTCCAGTTTGTCCACATATTTCTTAAAGCATGGTACTGTGTTCCGTTTTGGGCTCTCTAGCTGAGGCTGATTACCTCCCATGTCACGCATCTGACACTCCTGTTAATACATCCCAGAATGATATTAGCCTTTTTTGCAATTGCATCACGTTGTTGGCTCATTTGTGATCCACTATAACCTCTACATTCTTTTCAGCAGTACTACTTCCTTGCCAATTCACCATTTTGCATCTGTGCAGTTGATTTCCCTTCTTCCTTTGCACACTTTGCACTTGTGTTTGTTAAATTTCATCTTGGTAATTTCAGACCAATTCTTCAATATGTCAAGTTTATTTTTAATGTTAATCGTATCTGCAAAGTGCTTTTAACTCCTCCCAGCTTGGTATCATCTGCAAATTTTATAAGCATACTCTCCACTCCATTACCCAAGTCATTAATGAATATGTTGAAAAGTACCTGACCTGGGACAGATACATCCTTCCAGTTTGACAGCGAACCATGGATAACTACTCTGAATTCAGTCCTTCAATCAGTTATGGACCCACTTTATAGTTATGATGGAGAATTTAAAAACTGTATATTTAAAAAAAGCTTAATTTGGATCTTATTTAACAATATATAAACATGAAAAACTTAAATGAGCATAAATTAAAGGGGTTTTCTTTTAAAAATAAGTGATCTTTTAATGCAAAGAAATGTAGCATTGGAAAAAAATGGTTGGAATTTGTATAGAATGGATGAAAGCTACAAAGAGCAATAACAGGTTTTCTCTGGGATGTTTTCTAGAACTGAATAGGCTTTCAGAGCTGAGGTCTCCTTTTTTATTAGCTATCTCTCCAAAGGAATCATCCAGTTCACCTTCCTGTGAGTCTGGAACTTAAGGCAACATGATAGTGTGAGCCCCTTACTTCCATTCATCAGAAACCAATTTTAGTATGAGGACTGGTGTATTAAATATGAAGGGTCTATGAATAGTACTGTTTTTGTAGAACACCAGCCAGTCAAGTCTGTTCTGATTTTTACATTTAAAAAATAGTGGTAGTTTGAATTTTGAATACTGGAAAAAAAATACTAGTTTTGAACATTACTGGGAATAACTTTTTCATATATTTAGAACTAACAAGCAGTCAATACAGCATGCAGTACAATAGAAATAAATCTTTTTGGCTCAGTTATCACAGTCAGACAAGTATGGAATGAGCATTACATCAAATTTAGTTATTTGGCTTGTG